ACAGGGACCGTCCGGGAACCTGGTGGCAACTTCTTCCCAGAAGGCCCGCTTCTGGAGACTTCGGTCAAGGTGGCGAAGGAGGTAGAACCCGTGCCCACCTCCTCCCAGGACCACATCACAATTATAGCGACGCGATGGGGCAGGCAACCTGGAGAGCCCCCCAAACGCCCGCTGAGCGCAGGGCCTGTAACGAAGGATGTTATGGGAGAGACCAGGTCCAGACTGGCGGCGGGCGGGGGGCGGGCGGCGACTCGGACCGGGCTGGCCCCGCACCCGCGGAGGCTGAGGCTCAGGAGGGTGGGCGGGGGCGTCCCGAGCAGGGAGGGGCCCGCCCAGAGCCCTGGAGCTGGGAAGAGGAGCCCGCGTGACGTCCGGCTGTGAGAACCAGCAGGGCTCTGCCAGTGCGGGCGAGGCAGAAGGCCGTGAGGGCCCAGGCCCGGCCCCGACTCACTCACCGCGGGGCAGCGGCTCGCGCGGCACCGGAGACACACAGGGAGAGACGGAGTCGGGCGGCTTCAGGGCGAGGGCTGGAGGGACAGGGGCCATTGCCCCGGGTTGAGCCTCTGGCAGCAGGTAGGCGAGGGCAGCGCTCCTGTGCCGAGCCCTTCGCCCACACTGCCACACCCGAGTCCGCAGTTGCCGGGTGCCGTCTGCAGCCCCACCTGACGACTCCCCAAAGCCCTGCCCCGCCGCAAAGGCCTGCAGGCCCCAGGAGGGCGGCTGCCGGTCGGGGGTGCCCCGAGCCCTTTGCTGAGTGGCCTCAGACACAGCGCTGACACTTAGGATGAATCTCTACCAACCTGGTGAACACCACTTGCCCCGTCCAACCCTGGTAACTACCTGAGGCCCTGTCTCACCCAACTCATGTGCCGTCTGAGGCTTTTCCAGGGGCTGAGGCTTCTGGAAGGTCTCAGGTGCCATGTGCCTTTTGCTGACCTGTCTGGGCCTGGTACTGGTGGCAGTTGACCTCGGTTCACAGCGTGGCCTCTCGCACACCCACCCAGGTCCGGCACAGGCAGCTACAACCACGGATCACTCTGTAGCTCTAACGGGGGTCCCGGCTGGCCACAGGCCGCCTCTGCCCTTGACCTGCTCTGGAGCCCGTCCCTGGAGGCCCCAGAGCCAACACACCCAGTGGCTGGTCTCAGACCGGAACAGAGCACTGCCCGACCAGCTCCATAAGCAGCACCCCCGAAGGGCGGTCCCAGCAGGCTCCGCCCCGCCGGGTGCACCAGCTCCGTGGGGGCGGCCCCTGCAGAGCCGCTCACAGGCTGCGGGCCTGGCCCGTCCTCCCAGCCATCAGTCCGTGGGTCGGTCCCACCCACTGGCGTGCCAGCAGCAATCAAGGGTCACCTACAACAGAACGGAGCGCACCGCCCACGCGTGGGCCCCTCCGGGAGGGCTCGGCTCAGGTGACCAGGGAGCCTGCACCACGGGGCCCCACAGGAAACCTACTGCGTACGGCAGCCCTGCCCAGACGGGGGGCACAGCAGACCTACCTGATATACGGAAACAAACAGAGAGGCAGCCAGAATGATGAGACAGAGCAAAGGAAAGTGCAGGGGAAATCTACAGAAAAAGAGCTACATGAAATGGAGGCAAGCAATCTGCCAGATACAAAGTTCAAAACATTAGTCGAGAATGCTCAAAGAACTGCCTGAGAACTTCAACAAGGAGAGAGTAAATATAACAAAGGACATAGAAACCAGGAAATAAAAAACAAGTCAGAAATGAATAACATAATGTCTGAGGTGAAGAATACACTAGAAGGAATCAGCAACAGAGTAGATGAAGTGAAGGATCAAATCAACACTTTGGAAGACAAAGGAGCGGAAAACACTCAATTGAAACAGCAAAAAGAAAAAGAAAAAAAGAAGATGAGGAAAGTTTAAGGGAGCTTGGGGACAACATCAAGCATAACAATATTCCCATCATAGCGGTGCCAGAATGAGAAGAGAGAGAGCGAAGGATTGAAAGCTGATGGGAAGGACTAATGACTAGAAACTTTCCTAACCTGGTGAAGGACCGAGGCATCAGTCCAGGGGGCTCAAGGAGCCCCAGACAAGGTGGACCCAAAATGGCCAACAACAAGGTGCATCATTGTCAAGACGATAAAGGTTAAAGACGAACGGAGCACCAATGAGAAGACAAGCTCCCGGGAGACTGTCAGCTGAGTTCTCAACAGAAACCTTTCAGTTCTGAAGGGACTGGCAAGAAATATTTAAAGTGACAGAAAGCAAGGACCTACAGCTGCTTTTAGACCCAGTGAGCCCACTTCTGGGAATGTACCCTAAGAATCCCGAAATACCAATATGAAAGAATACATGCGCCCCTATGTTCATAGCAGCGTTATTTACAATAGCCAAGATCTGGAAACAGCCGAGTGCCCATCAGTAGATGAGCGGATAAAAAGGCGGTGGTACATTTGCACGATGGAATACTACAGGGCCCTAAAAAAGAAGGAATTCTCACCATTTGTGACAACATGGGTGGACCTAGAAGGCATTATGCTAAATGAAATAAGTCAGTTGGAGAACCGCAAATACCACATGGTTTCACTTATACGCGGAATCTAAGGAACAGAATACACAAGCAAACGAGACGGAGACAGACTTGTGGACGCAGAGGGCACCGTGACAGCCGCCAGAGGGCTGGGGTGGGGGCTGGGCGAAAAGGGCCAAGGGCCGAGGGGCACAGACGGGCAGCTGCCGGGCAGCCGCGGGGGCGCGGGCACAGCGCAGGGGAGACGGCCGATACACTGCGACAGCTGCGCGTGCCGCCGGGTGGGCGGCTGCAGTATTGGGGGCCGCCTCGCCTAACCCCCGTGCTCCATGCCCGAAACGGATGCGAGACGATATTGAACGGCGACCGTAGTTGAAAAATGAAGAAGGGGTAGTGCCGCTGAGCTCACGGAGTTGTCTAGAAAGTTCAAAGCGGTAACGCAGACGAACTACGTAGGAAGGTACCAGACGCTTGGTAAGATTTATGACGGTTAGGTGTTATGATTAGCCACCATTCCGGTTCACCACTCTCTCCTCCGAAGTGGTGTTCGGCAGGAACCTCTTCCTGGACCGCCTAGGAAGCAGGATCGCGCTGTCCTGGCCGACAGAGTGCGTGGCTTTGCCGTGATCCGGCCACGGCCCCTGCTCGCTGTGACGGCGTGGGCCTTGGGCCGGGGGTTCCACCTCTTCCCGGCTCAGCGCTCATTTCTAAAGCGGGTCTGATACCCGCACCTACCTCCCGCGGCTGGGGCGAGGGGCACTGACACACGCCAGGTGCGCCAGGACGGCGGGGCCGGCGTTACGTGCTCAGTGCGGCTCACCCGCCGTCGGAAACAGCGCATCGGTGTGCCGTTTGCGAAGTGTGTGTTCGCGTCTGGGGAGATGCAGACAGACTGTTCCAAGTTGGACTGTCACGGTGCCTGGGGGACACCTGGAAGATAAAGGCCTCGCCTCCACTTCCCAGGTGCGGGAGCTCAGTCCCCTGTGGTCCGGATTCTGTCCCCCGCCCCCCATCCTCCTAAAATCACACCTTCCAAGGCTGACCTAACCCCCGAGGCACATGCAGAAGTCTCTGCGGTGTCTTCCAGGGGCACGAGAATTTGGGAGTCAACTGGCCTGTTACCGCAGTTCGCAGAGGGGAGGCTGAGGCCCCGAGGAGCCCGCGGCCGCCCCCGCAAGCCTGCGACAGACCAAGGGCTGCCTGCCTGCCTGGGCTGCTATTTACTCCGCGGCAGTGAGCGTATATTGAACTTGACAGGTGCGGTGAACAGGGGAGGGGGAAGGCTCTCGGAGTCCAGCGTGGGGCTGGCACAGGACGCTCCTTGCTCCTTCCTTGCCTTACTTTGTCTGCCCCACAAGCCTTGCTTAACCTTCAGGGGGCGGCTCTGCCTTCCCCGGCGGGACCCAGGCCCTGCGGCCCCCGTGGCAGGGAGACCAGTGTCCCGATGGGTCATGTTTCCCTTCGCCGTGGCTCGCCTCTCTGGGCCACGCTCCGACTTCCCGGCGGGCCCGCCCGTTTCCCTGGGCTGGCTGCCTCGTGGGGTGGTTTTTGGGGAGGGCCCTGGCGGGTGCCAGAGGGGAGGGGAGGGGCTCCGCAGGGGCTCGGCCATTGGCCGGGCAGGCCCGGCGGTGGACGGCCTGCTCCCCGGGGAGGTGTAGGGCAGCAAAAGGCTGGCCGGCAGGTCTTCCAGAGTTGGGCAGCCCAGGGACAGGGCTGGCACCCCACCTCTCCCGCGGCTTCTCTGCTGATTTTCAAGGACGTACTCAGCCGTGACGCACATCTTACTAGAAAGACATTTCCATCCATAAAAAAACTCAGATATATGTGAAGGGAATTGTTTTACACATGACATTTGAGGGGTGGGGGAGGGAGGAAGGAAGAGAGGGTCTTTAAAAAAATCCCTTTCAAAATATTTTCTTTCTTCTAAGTATTGCAAAGGCACCATATAACCCTTGCTTTTCCCAAGTGACCTCATAGCTATTTATTGAGGGGAAATACCAAATGTTTGTTTGGTTTTCAGAAGGCGCTTCTTCGGCCGGATGACTCAAGGCGCTATCATTTTCCCCCGGCACACCCCGGGGGACAGGCGGGTGTCAGAACAATCCCTGTCCTGAAGGAGGGCTGGCGACCTCCTTTATTCCCTCGCAGACGTCCTTGAGCTCTGCAGAAGGATGTGAGCGAGGTCTTCGCTCCTCAGGCAAAACAACCGTCTAAACATAACAAATGACATCAGCTTGTGCTTTTCAATTCCTGGATGGCAGCAGCGGCTGATCCAGCCTTCCTCCTGGATTTCGTGAACTAGCACAAGAGAGCCTGACAGCGGCCGGAGCTGCTCCCGGCCGGAGGACACTGGTGACGGGCCGCCGGCCGGCAGGAGGCCCGAGCGCATCCCGTGCGTAAAGCTCGCGGCCCTGCGAGCACAGGCTCCGCCGCCGCTTGGGACGGCTGCCGCCCCGCCGCGCAGGCCGCCGGAGGAGCCGCGCCGCGCCTCGGGAAGCATGCGGGCCGGCCTGCCGCTGCTGCTGGCCGCGCTCCTGGTCCCCGCGCCCCGCGGCCCCGCGCCCCGGGCTGCGGCGGCCTGGAGCCCCAAGTACGCGGTGGACTGCCCCGAGGGCTGCAACAGGGACGCGTGCAGGAGCCCCCCGCGCTGCGAGGGGACCGTGCTGGACGACTGCGGCTGCTGCCGCGTGTGCGCCGCCCGGCGCGGGGAGACCTGCTACCGCACCGTCTCGGGCATGGACGGCTTCAAGTGCGGCCCCGGGCTGCGCTGTCATTTTTACAGTGAGGAGGACGATTTTGGAGACGAGTTTGGTATCTGCAAAGGTAAAGAGTGACCTGGCTTCTCCCCGCCCCGGGGCGCCCTGGGGGCGTTTGGTAGCAGGGAAAGGCAGGTGGGTTGGGGATGCGGCACAGGCAGGTGCTGTCACAGGGAGAGAGGATGGCTCTGCAGGGGGCGGCTGACCCCCGTGTCCCGGGAGCACAGAAAGCGCACAGCATGCCACGCACCCTGCGGGGAGAGTTTTTCACAAAGTCACAGCGGAAGGCTGCGCTGCCTTCTTCTGCAGAAAACTTCAGGTGCTGGGCCGGCGACTGGTCCCGGGGGGCTTGGGGCTCTCTCTCCCGCAAGCCGTGACTACCGGCCACGCGCTAGAAAGCTCTTGGGTGGCTGTCCAGCCTGGGGTTTACGGCGTCTTTGACTCCGAAAGGGTCCCCAGGATGGAGGGCAGCTCTCGAGGTCCAGTTCTTCTCCGGAACCTGGAGGCCCTTGTGAAGCTGGGTGGGCTCAGGGCGTCTAACGAAAGGACTCAGGCTCGGCCAAGAGGGCGCCCGGGGCCAGGAGGCAAGCCCACTCCACCTTGCTCAGGTTCTTGGTCACCTAGGAAAGCAGCAGATGGCGCGAAACACGTAGACATAATGGGAAAGGAAAATAAAAATTGGACCTCTGTAAAGAATGAGGGGGCAGTCTCGCAGGCTCAGGGAAGAAGTTCATGAGGTGGGCATCATAGCCAGGCAGTCTCGTTAAGCATTCGTAGAATTGATGTCAAGCTCTGTGATTATAGTTTAAAAATGTTTAACATGTTTAAAATGTTGAGAATCAAAAGGATGATGATTTATTTAAAAATGCCGTCTGCGGACACCGCATGATCTCATCATGAAGAGCTATTATTAAATGTAACATACACTCTAGCCTCGTTCACCAGTTTTATAACACAGGGAGCTTTTAAATTATTAAAGGAACTGGGAAATTTCTAAATAATTCTTATATTTTATATATTTGCTCCAACTGTATGCTTTTGTGACTGATGGTCTTGCACGAAGAGCTAACTCATTGATTCTCCTACCTTTTAGACAAATACTTTACAAAGCCATCACCGTTTAATCCACAAACCATGCCCCAGGTTGAGAAACATAGGCGTGAACTAATAGGAGATTTTTTTTTTTTTTTTGCTTAGTTTGTTTTTGTTTATAACCAGTAGGAGATAGGATATTGAGGAAACATTTTCTTTGGTGAACATCCACAAACATTCCTTTCAGCTGGAGAGGGTCTGTGTTTTCTGGAAATTATAGGGCTTCTTGGCCAAGAGCACAGTGCTCTGCATAAGGAACTTAGGGAGGAAGCGGTCAGCACGGTCCCCCTTGGGGCAGGGCGCGGGCCCACAGTGGGTCGCTCCTCCTCGGCACTCATCACTCTCCTGCCCGCGGACGGCGAGTGAGCCTCCGCGTGCGGGTGGGACCGAGCTGTTAGGCACCGCATCTAGGGCGCTCTTGTCCTCCCTGGGACGAGACATATAGTTTAAAAAGGTACGCAAAAGATACTCAGGATTGCTCTTTTTGGCACCCTTCAGATTGGAAGCCAGCCTCGTTCAGAACGACCTTCTCTCTGCCGGAACTAGGGAGCCTGGGTGAGCCTCAGCAACTCTGGAGAGAGGCTGGGATTTCGCCAGAGGCCAGCTCCCACCTCCGGCCCTTGCACAGACCGCTCATGTGAACCCTGCACGGTCAGCTGCATCGCAGGGGTTTTCTAAACCCTCGTACGCTGGCATTGGGATTCTTGCCCAGCTCACAGCCAGCCAGCCAACGCGTATTTATTGAACGTCCACTGTATCTGCCCAGGGGACACGATAGGAGCGTTGCTGAGAATTTGGCTAAAGTTTTAGTCCTCAGTGTCACTGGGGACACAGGCAAACCCCAGCCCTGCGTGCTCCCCCACAGCCGCCTCTTCAGCAACCGCGGGAGGGACTGTTCTTCCCCGCAGAGCCGCCTGCTGAGCACCGGGCCCCGCCGCAAGCTGACCGGTGCTGCAGGGCGCAATCCTTGGTCTCTTAAAAATACACTTTATTCGCACCCCGTTCCGTGGAACAGTAGATTATTAAAGACCTGGAAGGCCCACAGCTTGTGCTCTGCCTGTATGTGATGGCGCCTTTAACAAGGCTGGTCTCATGCCAAGAGAATAAGTATTCGGCATCTGTTGTGCTCGGCTCTATTAGATGCTGTTCGTCTCCTAAGAACTGCGTGCTCTTAATAAATGAATTTGTCCTCTTTTTCTCAATTTTGTGCGCTGCAGCCTAAGTGTGAGATCCCCGAAGCTCTAAAAGCGCTCTGGGTCTGGTAGGTGGACGAGCAACCTCTCGGCCTGCCGGCACGTGTGGTGTTTGGGGCTCGGCTCCGCAGAGGGCGTTGCTCGTGAAGCCTCTTAGCACCGGGGGGAGTTGGGCCCCGTGCCCTGCCGTGTCGACAGTGAACTTGACCCGCACTGGCGCAGACCGAGGGTGGAGCTCTGTGTGGAGGGCCAGGGCGGCAGCCCTTGGGGCCCCGGGCCGGCGGAGCCCTTCCCTGTGCCTTGGAGACAGTCAGCCGTGCGCGGATGCGGTGGGTGCAGAGAGCACCCGCTCCGTTCAACAATTGGGGCTGAGGCCCCTGGCTGCTCAGTCACCGACCGTCACTGAGCCGTCAGAGACGCAGCCTGTGAGACACTGTCTCCAGGAGGCCACGCAGAAAGTAGGCAGAACTAAGGCTGGTCCAGGGTCTCAGTTATGAGCAGCTGTGTTCAGCGAAACCTCTCCGCAGGACTCAATACATGAGGCGTCCTCTCTCTGGTCTCAGTCTGTGATTCCACATTTAAAATAATATTTTTATTGAATTTATTCGGGTGACTTTGGTTAATAACATTATATAGGTTTCAGGTGTCCAGTTCTATAATACATCATCTACTGCGCGTTCACCACCCCAAGTCAAGTCTCCTTCCGTCACCATCTCCCCCTCTTTACCCTCCCTGCCCCCCGCGCCCCCCGCCTGCCACGCTGCTGCCTGCGTCTATGAGTTTGTTTGCGTGCTTGTTTAGGCCCCTCGCCCTTCTCACCCAGCCCACGGCCTCGCCGCCCTCTGACAGCTGTCTGCCTGCTCTCTGTGTGCATGAGTCTTCCTGTCGCTCGTTTTTGTTCATTGGATTCCACATTTGTGACTTAAAGTTTCCACTTTCAAAGTCCGGCTGTGTTTGGAGAGTCGGGTTTTAACTGACCGCCAAGGTTCCCGAGCTTCGCTCACAGGGACGCCTGTGTGGGCCTGCCTTCTTCTGCCCACAGACTGTCCCTACGGCACCTTCGGCATGGAATGCAAGGGGACCTGCCACTGTCAGCTGGGCATATGTGACAGGGTGACCGGCAAGTGCCTGAAACTCCCCTTCTTCCAGTACGCGGCGACCAAGTCCCCCAACAGACTCGTTTCTCACACAGGTAAGAGTTGACCCAGGGAAACACTAGGCTAAGACGTTGGTTTGAATGATTTTGTTTCAGGGGGAGGTGGGTGGTAGGGAGGTGGGGTGCTGTGGCTGTTTTTTAAAAAGATCTTATTAATAATTTTGAAGATTATATAATTTCTCATAAAATTTACCCAATTTTTATGGAAGATGCATAAGGTCGATTGCCAAGAAAATCTGTAATTAACAAAACCCGACTACGATATCCAAAGTCCTTTCCATTTTTCAGTGATCTGCTTCATACACGTACCACACGGAGCTGCTTCTCGCCTCCCACCCTCACGCTGAAAAGTGCTTCGAGGAATTTAGAGATTGGATAAGGTTTAAGAGTCAAGGTAGAAAATACAAAACTTATTTTTAACCAAATGAAAGCATTGAAATGGAACAATTTCAAGCTTTTTTTTTTTTATGGATTTTGGAGCGGACAGGAGGCAGTATCAGACTGAAATTTGGGAGTTGTCTCTGCCCCTTTGAGTGAAGAGGGAGCGATACTCGTGCGCCCCTCGCTAGTGCACGAGCGTTTCTTCCCCGGGGGGTCAGCGGGTGGGGACACATGGTCTAGCAGAAGGCCCTGTGCGCGCCTGCGGTTGTCCTGCTGAATGAATGGCCGGCACAGTAAAGCATCATTAAACTGAAAGTAGACCATCTAAAACAACGTATAGCCACAGCAACGTCTAGCATCAATAAATGACACACGTTTCCCCCCTTGTATATAAATACGTGATGATCCAAATTCATTTTATTTAGTTTTCTTTTTCTGGTTCTTTACCATTCACATTAATGAAGATTTGATTTATCTGGCAAATGTGCGTTTCCCCCAGCGCTGCCTCCTCCTACCACAGGAACACAGTTAGGTGCCTAAAGATAAAGGGGAAATACCGAGCTTTTAGTGAGTTATTATTTTTAAGTGTGACTATGCCCTGCCTTAAATATCAATTTTATGTGAAAACCCTTTTTAACCTATTAGGGGAGTAACTTTGTGAATATTTGATCTGGAAATTGGGATCATTATTAACATTTTAAATACTTATGAATTGTCCCTATAGTCCTTGAAAAGCAAAATGGAAGATTGCATTTTAAGACTTTTTTTTTTTTTTTTAATTGAGGTGACAGTCACATTAAATTAACCATTTTAAAGCGAATAGTGCAGTGGCATTTAGTATGTTCACAACGTTGAGTGGCTACCACCTCCAAATAGTTCCAGAACGTTCTCCTCAGCCCCAAGTAAAACCCCAGTTCCCCGCTTCCTCACATCCCTGCAGACCCCACGACCACCGGTGCCCGTCCTGGGACCTGGGGTTTCCGAAGACTCGGCCGCACTCGCTGCGGGTCTCACACCCACGGTGTTGGCCCAGCTGTGGCTGCCGCAGGCGCCTGCGCCTTCTTTTATCTTATTTAGGTGCCCCACACCCACAGGCTAAAAGCTGAAGAAACAAGGTGGATATCCCTCTTCACGCTGATCTTCTTCCACCAGGAGAAACGAGCCCCTCCGGGTGTTCGATGGTGCTCGGGTGCGGCGGGAGGCGGCCAGCGCCCTTGGAGCGGCCTCGGCCTGGACGCCCCTGGGGCCCCGGTCGGTCCGCACTCCGTCCGCGCTCAGGGCCTGTGCTCGCCCTGCGGGACCGCGAGTGGTCTCCTCCGCGCCTTCGTGGACAGGTTCTGCGAGTACCATGGCTGCTCTATAGATGGATACCGCGGGAAAACATGGGTTACAACAAAAGCTATTTCTTTTCCCAAATTAGACATCAAGATTCTTATTAGACATTTATGAAAACGAGCGTTAGCTGACCTAAGGTGTTTCCTTGCATCAGCTAAAAGGAGCAACAAAGACGACCAGCTGCGTCGTCTTGGTTCATGACGAGGCCCCGGGGACAGATGCCCAGGAGCCTGGGATCCGGCTGCACGGCCCTGCGGGGTCTCTCGGGGCTCAGGTGCTGTGGTTCACGGTGTGGGGGTGCGGTGTGCGGGGCCGCCGACCGCCTGGGCTGCTCAGTCCCTCCGTGCAGACGTGCGGGGGCCCAGCCTTGGAGCCCCTGCCTGGGCGCCCGGGGCCCTTCTCGGGAGGCAGGCTTCTCCGACGCGCCGCCTGCTGCTACGCTCTTGGCAAGTGGGCCTCCGCTCGCGCGTGCGTGCGCTCTCTCTGGTCAGGAGCTTTCCAATTTTCCAAGACTGGGGCTTCCCAGGAGCTTTTTCTCTGTTGGTGGTGGATGCAGCGGGGGGTGGTGGGGGCGGGCAGCGCCTGCAAGGTTTCACGCATTCACAGGCCGGGCGACGCTCAGCTCACCGCCTTCCACTGCAGGTTGCGCTGCCGGGGCAAACACACCTCACCCCTCTTAGGAGCAGACCAGGTTCATTTCAGAAAATTCTAACCGTTGCAAACTTTTCCTTACGGAGAGCAAGAGCTAGCTGCCTTTATAAAAGCTCGCCCTGTGCCTGCCTTCTGCTTTTTGGAGCCGCACGGAGAGGCTAACCGCTCCTCCTTGCAGACAGTGTGAAAGTCCTGCTCGCAGGTCCTTTCTTACGGCGTTGGCTGAGCCCACAGCGCGCTGGGGAAGCCCCTGCTGTGTCCCGCACCGGGGCAGCCGGCACGAAGCCCGCCCCTGCCCTCCGGGAGCTGGTGTTCCAGCGGTTGGCGTGAGATGATACAGGGAAAAAAAGGGAGAGAAAAGTGCATGCGTAAGATACTGTCAGGTGACGGTCAGGTGACGGTCAGGTGACGGTAGGTGGGGCAGGTGGGCGAGGGGAAACAGTTCAGGGCCTGCTCTCTTATGCGGGAGGTGCTAAGGGTGGGGGGGTGCAGTCAGCACGGACTCGAGTCTGTCCAAGGTGACATGGTAACCCACTGAGATGCAAACACAGACGCCGCTCACGTGACTTCGGAGTTACAAACGCCTTCTGTTTCAGAGCACGACCTGGCGTCGGGAGACGGCAACGCTGTGACCCGGGACAAGGGAAGGAGAACGCCGCGCGGACGCCTGCGGTGAAACGGTTAAACCCACGCTGACCCTGGGGGCTCCCGGGCGAAGACCGTCTGAAGGACCGTCCAGCGCACACAGCCAACATTGTGGGAACTGTTTAGATTATAGCATATGGACACGTAATCTTTGGAGACCAAGTACGATTCGGGGTGGGTCCAGAAAAAAAAGTGGGCTACTAACAATCCATAAAATGCATATGACTGAACGCTTAGATAGCTCTTACACATTTCAGTGCATCTAGATTTGTTAAATAGCTGTTTATAGTAACACTGAAGAACAAAAACGCAGTTGAGGGAAGGCAGACCGCTCAGCTAGGGAGAGAGCCCCGCCGAGGCCGCAGCGTGTCCGCGTCCGGGGCTCGGAGGCCCACCCGCCCGGGGCCCGCGTGGAAGAGGTGCCGGGCCGAGGAAGTCGGGCTGGGGCGGGGAGCACGGGATCTAGGTCTTCTCATAGCATCAGTGGGATTTACCTTTTTTTTTTTTTACCTTGGGAAAAATCAAAACCACCCCCGCAGGAAGGGCACGCCTGGAGCTGGCAGGAGCCCGCGTGGCAGCCGTGAGGGGAGGCAGGTGCCGAAGGCCGGCTCCCGGAGCTGCACGGTCGAGGTGTCGGAGGGCGGCTCTCGGCCGCGGTGGCTCTCGAGGAGGCCGCCTCGGACTGAGGGGGCTTTGCCCCCTTGGGAGGGGTGCGAAGGGAATATTTATATATTTTTGTAAACAATTCCTCTGTGCCTGTATTTATCACCCTCTGGAGAACAGGGCATCAACACTGCTTGTGTAGACTGGTGAGCACAGAGGTGTAGCTGTGCGAGATGTTCAGAGATTCCAGGCGCGGAAACTTGTCATTAACAATTACGGGGACGTTAATTGCGACAGGCAGAGGAGAACCCGAGAAGAATTTAGTGTTTGGGTTTATAAAATGCCCAAAAATAAGCAGCAGAAGGAATTTACTTTAAAGTACGTGGAGTGACTTCGATGAGTTTTAAACGTAATGGGGGGAATTGCTCTTGGGGAGGTTTGGGAAAGAGTCCATTTTCGGCAGGAAGTGTCCGCTTTAACTTACAGTTCAGTTTTGTATTTTTCCCTTTAAAACGAGCCGATAAGTGGAGCTCTGCTGCACTTGGGAGGGCCTTTGTGTGGACAGCGCTGTTGTCCCGGGTTTTGTTAGGATGTAGTTGCCGAAGTATTTTATTTGGAATAAAGACTTATTTAAGATCTATTTCAATATTTACCTATATTTTATTCTCAAAGTTTGAACATGTGTATTGAAGGGTCTTTGAATGTAAACTGCATACACTGTTATGATTTGTTTTAAAAGGACAAATTTATGATTGTTCAATAAAAAAACAAGACAGCTGTTCTGAATCCATTTGTGATCTCGTTAAATTGTTAAATGTTATTTACACATTCTGGTCAATGAATAAGAACCTTTTTATGCATATTAAAGGGAAATTCCTCAACTGAATTTTCTGCTACAGAATAAGCATCTTGGGTCAAAACATGAGAGCAAAATATTTATATCTTTGCCTTCCATTTTTGGTGTGCTTGTGCCTTAGAGCTTCCTAAAAATTAGGTCCCAAAGTAGTACCCATTCTACAGAGACCAAAAAAAAAAAAGAAAAAAAGGAACATGAGCAGTTCTGTTGGTGTTGGAAAGTGATTATGCTTAGAAGGCAGACAAACCTTTCGGTATTTATAAAAGAAGAGACATATCCAGGAAGGGCATAGGTTCACGCAGCCCATGGGCACATTATGGAAATGCTTTAAGTGAATCGATACTGCACTAAAAAAATTACCTTTATATTGGGGAAAACACCAAGACTGCCTGAATTTTTCTTTTCTTTTTTTTTTAAGATGGGAGAAACGATGTGAGTGATATAAAAAGTGCCATTCACGCAGGACATTCAGGTTATTGTTAAACGCAAACAGAAAGCGCTCAAAATCTCCCCTGTCCCCCATGTGTGTTGCGGTTTCGGGCGACGCCCTCTGGGGTGAGGTTGCCTGAAGACCCGCCGCCTGGCTCGGACGCCTGGGCCGCGGCCCGGAGGCCCCTTCGGGAGGCGCGGGCGGTGGCACGTGGGCTGGACCAGGGGGCTTGCCTCTGCTCCGGGCGCGGCCGCACCCACAGGTGTGACCGTGGGAAACGAGTCAAAACCGGCGGCTCCTCTGCCCTCGGCCGGCCGGCCTCGTGCCGCAGGGGCCTCTGGGCCCCGCCCGGGCGCTCGCTCTGTCCGCCCGAACGGCTCTGCCGTCCTCTGACTCTGGTCCTCGCAGCGGCGGTCTCCAAAACGTTGGGATTCTGCACGCTTTTGGATTGCGATCTCTCTGAGCGTGTGATTCTCGACTATTTACATAACGTAGTTTTAATACATTATGTTCCTTATAGAACACTCAAACAAGAAACTTTTAAGAGGCTGGGAAATAAATATAAATAGAAGTTATGAGAGTTTCTTCCTGTACCCCGATGCACCATCCTGGGGAACGCCAGAGATGCAAGAGAAAATGCCCAAGTCAGGGGTCTCCAGTGAGACCCAACCTCATCTGATACTGCAGCGAAAGCGAGCTGATGCATGTTCCCCCTAACAAACATTGCTGGAATGAATGGATGGAGGGTGAGTGGATGAATGGAAGGGCAGACGGGAAGAGAGATGGATGGATGAGAAGAGGCGTAGAGGGATGGATGGAAAAAGTGCAGCTGGGGGGTGGGAAGAGGGAAGGGTGTGTGCGTGAGTGGAAGGGCACACGTGGGACGAGAAATGGCTAGGTGGATGGAGGGGGGGCGGGAGGCAGCAGGTGACAGCCTTCTATTCCCGGCACAACTGAGGGCGCTTTCGTCTGCCAGCGCCCCTGTCCCCCTCATGGTCGCTTGTCCCGCTGACTGAGACGTGAGGTGACTGGAACACTGGGGAGCGTGCAATAGAGTCAGTGACTCTGACGAGCGGGGTTGTCCGAGGCAGCAGCGAAAGGCGGGGCATCTCCCGCCGGCGCTGGGGCCACCGCCAGAGGCGGCAGAAAGTGGAGGCACTTTCCGTGGGAGCCAGGGTGGACCATCACCTGTGAGGGTGCGTGTGGAAAGCAAATCGGGAGCCCAGCTGTTTCCATTTGCATTTCATTCTCTTCCCACAGCCTGAGCCTCTCGGAGTAAAGGATCCGCAGGGAGCTCACTCAAAGGCGCAGTTCACCAGCACACGGACAGTTAGTGGGGAATTGATTATTCCTGATCGCCCCTCCACCAATGCTAGTCACTTGACTAGCTGCCGAGCGGGCACGAGCTATGGAGCAGCGGGTGCTGAGCCCCCTGGAGGCCCTGCTTAAACACCCAGTGCTGACCCAGTGATCCCCCGTTTGGCAGGTTCCCGGGGGCGGCAGGGGCGGCAGGCGCTGCGGGTCCAGAGGCCACGCCGGGAGAGTCACCGATGTGGGGACCTCTAGGCTCGCCGAGGAGGGAGAGAGGCTGAGGATTGATGAGTCCAGCCACTGCTGGTCTTAGGGAAGAATGTGTCGCACTATGTCTCCACCTGGCAGTTCATTTAATTTTGTGTTGGAAGATATTTAACTATTTAAGCAGTTGAGAGGTTTGAAAAATGTCAGGGAAACTTTTAAGCTAAACTGTGGGGACCTCCCAGGTAGAAGAAGGTCATTGAAGGTGGAAGACCCAGAGACTGGGGGACTGATTGAGCCCGTGCTCCCATAGCAAGAGAGCGCTGGAGAAGAGTGACAGGAGGTGCCACGTGTCACGAAGAGAAAGACACACGTTTGAAGTGGTGGCAAGGTTTTGCAGAACCGAGAAAGAGCCGAGATCTGGAGAGCTGTGGATAGGACGTCAGTTTAAGAAATGGCGGGGCCGCCAGACCCGACCATGAGTCAGGCCCTGAAGCGGACGAGCTGCGTCTCACAGAGTGACCGGCGTGGGTCACGCTCCCGCTGGGCGGAGGGCGGTGCGGCCCCGGGCTGGGAGCTCTCGGGAGGCTGCTGGGGAGCACACGGGGCCTCCCGGCTTAGGCAGAAGCGGGGTGCAGGCTCCCTGCTTCCCAGGGCTCCCTCCCCCGCCAGGTGCAGAGCCACTGGTTTTCAAGGTGATACCTTTGTTAGTTCCCCCCAAACCCCCTCCTTCCTGTTCGCAGAAGCGACAGTCCTCTTTTTGCTGTGCCAGGCCATTCCCCACCTTAATGTTTAGTTCAGCCGGGAACAGCGATGGCCTGGCGCGGACTCTTGGCATGTTTTTGCCTCAACTGGCGGCAATGCAGGTGTGCGGGTGCCCCCCAGAGGGCGCCTGGCCGTCCGCGTCCTCGCGTGCCCACCTCGGGCGTCCACTGCCACGCCACCTGGGGAGACGGGGGTTTCAGCGAGGCCGGTGAGTCGGGGGCCGCCGCAGGGCGTGTCGACTGTGTTTTAAGCGGAAAGGGCCGACCCGGGGGCGCTGCCGCATGGACAGTCTTGTTTTTGTGAAAAATACGCAAATGAATAGAAATCAAGATGGGAATATTGAAGGTCGTTTATGTTTCCAGCTATTTTCTGAAAATTGTTCAGTTAGTTTAATAATTGGGAAAAAGAACACGGCGCTCTCCAGTTTTGAAAATTTAAGTTGCAGTGAATTTAAACAAACGAGAACAAATGAGAACAGATGAGCGGTTTGCTGCGGACTCCGTGACGGCGAACAGAACCCTGTGCTCCAGCGGTTCCGCGGTGCACTTGGCCGTCTTCGCACTGTGAAAGGTACAGAAACAGGATTGCAAACCAAGTAGTTGGAGAGAATCGCAGTTTTCTCATAAATACCAGAAAGGCTACAAAGCCCACGAGCATACAACACACCCCTTTTCTGGAACAGATTTGTGCCCGACAGAAGCCCAGTGGCAGACCCTTGGGAAGGACAAAGGTCTCTGCCCCCTGGGCCACGCTGGAGAACAACGCCTCTCCTGCCGGCGCTCCCTGCTTAGCGGGTGGTCAGGCCTCAAGGGTGTTTCAAGTATTTCCTGACACCTGTGAAGTTGGTAAATATTTCCTGTTT